TTTACCTCTCTTCAATATATTTTTTCTCATTTTTTCATTTTCAAAAATAATTGCTTACAAAAGTGAGCATCAAGGATATCCCAACTGACAATCATGATCAATATACTTTGGATACACAAATCTGCATGATAACATTCCTATTCATAAATGACAACACTCTTTTTTGCAGATCTCTGACATCGAAGACTGTGGAATCCCACACAGTATTTTCTGGACTTGACCGACTGTGTGATTTGGGCCTCATCTTGTACTGGAGGTCAGCTGTAATCTGAATTGACAGACATTTTAGCATTGGAAGCGATAGTCCGAAGAGCCTCTATTGGAACTTAGTGATATAGGCGCATCTGTGCTGGGTGGTTGCTGTAATCTGGAATTGACTGAACAACTTAGCTAGAAATTTAGTAGAGTCTCCTTATGTTGCTTTTTTTTGTAAATTCTTTAGCGTAGATGGTCAGATTTCATAGTTACTTCTTCAGAAAATATGTCATCATTAGTTGAAGGATTATACTTTTATTTTTGTTTTTCAGAAATTTACTTTAGAAAGGAGATAACAAAGTAGTATTGACTATAGTTTATTTCCATCCCCTATTGAAAATAGTAGTCATTATCCATGCATATAGTGAGTCTGTTGAAGGGGGTAGCGATGCTCAGTCGACTTAAACGGACTTGCAATATAGTTACGGGAGGTAGTTAGTCATTTGCTTGTTAGTTTTTGATTTTATTATTATTGTATTTTTGTATAAATTAATAAAATGTACTAACAGTACCGCATCGTTAAAACATAAAAAAAATGATTTTGACCATTTCGACCATTTTGGATATCTGAAATGATCCATTTTAACTTCATGTATAATTAGTATATCTAATTCAAGTTTTAATATGAGATTATTTTAGTTAAGATATCATAATTATATAGTATATTTGATTAGAATATAATTTAAAAAAGAAATTTCAGATTGGTTAATCACTAATATTTTTAATTGAATCAAAATAAGTTAATTTATAAGAATTATATAAGCTACCTTTCACATTTAAAGCATATTTTTTTTTTAAAAAAAATATAATACTTTATATATATTTATTAAGGTTTTAATATATAATAAGAATATTAATTATAATATATTTATATATTATCTAACTCATAGGAAAACTTCTCTATGATTAGTTATTGCAAGTCAATTTAAATCAGATATTATTTATACAGTTTAAAGTACTTTTTCAGAAAATGGAGTTATATTAAGTAAAAAAAATTTTACTTATCATTACTTATTTAGAATGCTAATTACCTATCTACAAAAATAATTTAAAATAATTTCAGTTTCAAAAGATTTGTTTAAAGATAACATTTTTATAATATAAAACTTAAAAATCTTTATATTATTATAGATAGAACTTGTTTTAAAATTTTTAATAATAAATTACAAATTTATATTAAAAAACTGTATACTTTCTAAACATTTAATTATATTTTAATAATTACCTTTCATTACTTTTATTACTTTTATAAAAAATATATAATAAAATATTATTATTTTATTATAGTCAATCCCCTCTATAGTCACCCCAGATATAATCACATTCCCCTTTATAAGCATATTTACATTGGCCTAAGTTACTAATAAACTTATTAAAAAATCCCCCTCTTTAGTCACGCTATATAGTATTTTTTATAATCACACCATTTTTTTTTTGGTCTCAAGAGGTGTGTGTGACTATATAGAGGGTCAACTGTTGACGTTCTTGATACTTCACAATTTGAATAAATATAAGTCAATTATACTTTTTATATAGTTACTTTAGCTAATAATAGTATTTAATAGATTTTGTTTGAATTTATTTTAGCAATATAATTGCGACATTATATACTTTAGTTGCGTCAAAGTTTTCATACATTACGCCACTTTTAAATCTAAAAGATTGATATTTGTGTTTTTTATATTGTAATTTTTATTTTATTTTTTTATTCACAACAAGAAGATAATTTACAAGAAAGAGAATTTCAAACATATAGAGAACATTTGAAAAGGTTACTAGGAAAATCAAGTTCTGATTTTTATTGCATTTTAATTTTTGATAATATTAAATTAAAATGCAATAAGAATTAAATTTTATTCAAAAAAAAAATTCTCAGAACCTGATTTTTTTAGCAACTTATCCATATATAGAACTAATATTAAAGTTACAAACAATATACAGTTGACCCTCTATATATAGTCACACACACCTCTTGAGACCAAAAAAAATGGTGTGATTATAAAAAATACTATATAGCGTGACTAAAGAGGGGGATTTTTTTAATAAGTTTATTAGTAACGTGTTGATGTCACATATAACCATCACAAGGAAATTGATCGATATACCCAGAAAAATCAGGTTCTGAGATTTTTTTTGAAATTGAAATTCCCATACGTTTGTCGAAATTAAAAAATATTTATAGAAAGCCACATATAATCAATGCTACTAAATGAAAATGACGTTCCTATCATGTTAATAATCGCGCCACAAAGTTCTTCAAAAGATCATCTTCATTGAATAATCGGTTTGATTTTTTGATGGCTGATGCGAGTGATATTTTCCAAAAATAAAAATGTGATCATGTAAAAAAAAAACGCGTTTTTACATGACATGAATTCATTAACAACAATGAAAAGCTTGGTCAATAAGATTATCAAGATGGATTTTGCGGCTCATTTGTAATTAATCATGTGGTTTATTTAAAAGTCTAGTTCGGTTAACTCCTTGACTAAGGAATCACATTTTGTTGATTTTGTTGTTTTTGGCGTATAATATTAATCTATCTAATTAAAGTAATTTTGTTTTGGTTTAAACTGTTTCTTTCTTTGTAAATTCAAATAATCAAAAAACCTTTTTTTTTTGAAAATTGCCTAAAAAGGGAAAATACACATTCATCAAAATATTGTAGTTTGAAAAATAAATTGTTGATATAGAGTTACCAAAAAGGATTATTGTATAAAGAATTTTAATTTCATTTTTTTAATTTGCAATTAGTAATCTATGGGAAACAAACCAATTGTATTAATCACGTGGTTAAAAAAGGGCTGTTCTTTTAAAGTTTAATTTGGATTAGAATTGTTTAAAACCGGTTTTGTATGTTGAATTAACACGGAAGGGGAAAGCATCTCTAAAAATAAATCGTTATCTAATAATAAATTTTAGGGCTTAGTAATTTTCCCTTTTTATGAGATATTTATTAAATAAATAGAGGTGGTGGGAATTTTTTTTAAAAAATTAAAAAAAAAAATAAATCATCCTAAAAAAAAATCAAGATGCAACAAGAGAAGTTGCCGCAATTTTCAAATCCAAAAACACAATCGTTTATCAACGATACGTGGTTAATAGAAAACGAGTTAAATTTACTTTTTTCAAACATTTCAAGCATACTATCTATACAAACCCAAATAACAATAGCAACCTCAAATAAAGATGAAATGTCATTAACCACATCTCGTGATTCATTAATAAGTTTAACGAAGAATTTATTAATTTCAACGAAAAATAAAATAAAATCACTTGAATTACAAAATTTAAAAAATGTTGGATCTTCTTCGGTTGCGAGTGATTTTGAAATTAGGAATCAACGTATAATCCATATTAAAGAAAAATTTCTTAATTGTCTAGAAACTTATAAAGAAATTGAAAAGAATTATATGAAACAGCAAAAAGAACGCTTAATTAGACAATATAAAATTGTAAATCCGGACGCAAATTATGATGACCACGTTGAAACCGATCAGCCTGTTTTTCTTCAATCTATAATGGATTCCATAAATCAACGTCAAAATGTTGAGGACTCCAAACGCGTTTTGGAAGAAGTGAATAGACGGCATGAAGATATTAAACAAATTGAGAGAACTATTGCCGAATTAGTTGAATTATTTGAAGAAATGAAATTACAGGTCGAAATACAAGATGATCATATCGTTTCAATTACAGATAATGTACAAACGGTTGAAAATGACACAAAAGAAGTAACCGATGAATTACATCATTCTGAGGAAAATGCTAAAAGTACAAGAAATTTCAGACGGATATTTGCTATAATTATTTTATTTATAATTGGTATCATTATATTAATAATGCTGCTTGCAATCAGGGAAAATCATAGTGGATAAAGGGGGAATTTTGGATGATTACATTTTCTTATTGTACAATGAAGAAAAATTTTGTTTTGATAACGCGTTGAAAGGATGTTATTCCCGAGTTTTATTATTCTATTTATAGAACATTACGTATTACTCATGTGATAACATCGAATATTTAACGCCATCAAACAAAATAGATTTAATTCTATTGTGTCGTTTGACGAAAAACCTTTTTACTTTTGAGGTGGAGATTTATTGATTATTAAACATGTTTCATTTCAGTATATTTTTAGAAAACCAAATTTCGAATAAAATTAATATACAGCATCTGTAAAACCGTTCCAAAGATATAACTTTAATTGGAAACTTGAAGAATGACTTGAAGTTCACAAGTAGAGGTAGAATCTTTGGTCAAAAACATATAGATAATGTGCCGCGCCGCACCGCATTTTTTAATAATAATGTTTCTGTATAGGAAGAAACAAATGCATATTTACTTAAATAAACAGATGATTAGATAATAATATGGATTAGCAGTAGCGGTAGTGATAGTTGCTAGCCAAATAACGGGAAGTATAATTAATACCTCTCATGAAAGCTCGCAAATTGTTTATTACCTGAAAATTAATAAAGTATTTATTGTTCACATCAGCTGTATGTAGTGTATAATAAATCGGAGTTCGCATAGATGTCTTCAATGTAAATTATCTCTTATCTCGTTTTGTATTTATTTTTCAAATAATTAGAATGAAATTTACATTAAAATAAATTTATTTTTGGGTATTGTATGACTGGACTGTCTATTGAGATACAATTGCAAAGTATGATAACCAATCAATTCCACCAACGAAATTAGTTCAATATACTAAATATTATCTTGAATTAAGAAGAATGAAGATGAACCTTGTAACATTACTTATTCAATAACTGCAATGGTAATTCCGGAAATGAAGACTGTGATTGGGGTTGAGAATGAACCTCTAACAAACTTCATATCGCGCGACCGCTTGAATCATCTCGTCTTGCTTCTGACCGGTTTAAAATATCCTATGAGGTTTGGGTATACCAATTGTTTCCTAACTTTCAATGGATTTACCCTTTTCCTCTCCAAAACTAAAAGATGAATTGTATCTTTCGTATATAATGACTGGCTCATGTAAGATTGGATTTGGAGGGCTATTACGGTCAACATCAGTAACACCATCAACATTAACACCATTAATATCAGCAGCGCCATCAAATTTAACGATAGCGTAAATATCAGCATCGCCATCAACATCGCCATCAAAATTAGCGGCACCATCAATATTATTAGCGCCATAAGCCGGTTGTTCACAAACTAATTGTCAAGATGAGATTAGCATCAACTACTTTGTAAGTGAATCGTGATACCTGTGCAATATCGAAATCGTTGATTTTAGTAAATGATGTTAAGAAGGTCACTGTTCGGTAAAACCTTGTTTGCTGCCTTTTTTTTCATTTTAGTATCATATGGGAGGTTTGCTAGGAAAATGGGGCTCTGAGCATTTTTTATTAAAATTTTAAGATTTATTGCATTTTAATCTA